CTTTAGCTAGGCTGAGGGAATCTCCTCCACTCCTGAATGTCTGTTAATTTATCAGTTTGTTCTCTCTCTAACTGAAATCTCATATTCTTCTTCTGTTTTTCCACCTTTGCATGCAGACCTCTCTCTATTATCTGTGTTTGAAAAAATATAGTGTTTGGAGGGTTTTCCCCCTCTTGTTTTTGAACCTTAGAAGTAATGGAGTTAGAGAGAAGCTTAGACCCAATTCTTTTTTTGTCAGCAGGGAGCTGCTTGTTGCAGTGATGCAATGTTACCTTGGCTGGCCAGCCATCTGGATGGTCAAAGGGCTGTGGGGACACTCCTGTGCTGCATTGGAACAGGTCTAGAATGCTTTAATCTGTCTTAGGACCTCTTCACACAGCACAAAAATGCCCCATTTTTCTGCTTTATTTCATGGCTTGATTGGGGCCTCCTGTGCGCATGGCAGGTTCTGTCCTCTTTCCTCCCGAAGTGGAGGCAAAGAACCAAAAGCCGCTTTGTTCTCCACCATGGGGAGGAAAGTGTACTTTGGGTTTCACTTTCCTCCCCAATTCCCTGTGTCATGGCAGAAAGGGTGCTGGGGCAACAGGTATTGTTGCCCTTTCTGCCATCTCATGGGGGGAGGGAAAGGGTGCCAACACACCCTCTCCCATCTCCTCCACGTGATGAAGGGAAGAGGGAGGGTGTGTGGGGCATCACTGGCCACCACAAATGCCTTCCTTTTTGCCAGTGATTGCTGGCAAAGAGATCCTTACTCTGGAAAGTGTAGACACATTCTATGTTATGTTAGACAAAACTTTCTAAAAAGACATGAACTGCAAATGTTTAGATCTTTTCTTGGAAATAAGCTTTATTGGATGAAGTGAGGTTTCTGAGTGAAAGTGCATTGGTTCAAATTGACAAAGGACTACAATTCCACTTTAACTGCCATGACAACATTCTATGGAATCATGTAGTTTGAAAAATGCTGCTGCATTTTTCCAAATGAAGCAGAGAGTTTGAGAATCGGGACATTCATAGAGATACCTAGGTGCTTGTTTATAAAACTATTTCCTCCCAACCCTACTATACGCCTGTGAAACATGGACTGTCTATAGATGTCACACTCAACTCCTAGAACGATTCCATCATAATTGCCTCTGAAAAATCCTGCAAATCTCTTGGGAAGACAGGTGGACAAATGTCAGCGTGCTGGAAGAAGCAAAGACCACCATCACTGAAGTGATGGTCCTATGCCATCAACTTCGCTGGACATTGGCTACAATGTCCAAATTCCTGATCACTGCCTCCCAAAGCACTAACTATACTCCCAACTCAAGAACAGAAAATGTAATGTTAGTGGACAGGAAAAGAGGTTTAAAGATGGGATTAAAGTGAACCTTAAAAATGTGGCATAGACACCAAGAACTGGGAAGCTCTGACCCTTGAGGTCTCTAACTGGAGATCAGCTGTGACTAGCAGTGTTGTGGAATTTGAAGAGGCATGAATGGAGAGCGAAAGGGAGAAACATGCCAAGAGGAAGGCACATCACGCCAACCCTGACCGGGACCACCTTCTACATGGTGGAAGAACATGCAGATCAAGAATAGGTCTCCACAGTCACCTTACAGACCCACCACAAAGACACTACACTTGGTAGGCCATCATTCTCAGGCTATGAGGGATCTCCTAAATAAGTAACGTAAGCATGTGGTTTGAAATTTGGGAAAGCCCCAATGAGAGTATTCTAAACCCCTGATGACACTCTAGTTTTCATAGTTCCATCCTATGGAATCATGAAATTTATAGTTTAGTAAAAATTTCAGGATTCTATAGGATGGAACTATGAAATCTGGAGTGTAATCATTACACTATCATTGTCTAATATTAAATAGCTCCAAAAGGGACTATGAATATTTTCTCCAATGTGGTTTACATTCTCTTGGTTGTAACACTTTAGTGACCACATTTTGGTAGTTGGGAGGAACCCATCTAATGGCAGATGTGTTTAGACCCCAAAGTATGAGGCCAACACTTCTCCTTCCCTCCCTTCCATTCTCATCCCACATTTGCTACCACCTCCTCTCTTTCTACCATTTCCTTTCTCAGCTTCATAACTCTCTATTCTTCTTACTTTCTTTTCGTCCTTCTGCTCTTGTTGCTCCCTGCCCAGCTAGAGATCCTTCTTGCCAAAACATCAAAACCAATCTCTTCCTAAAGACTCCTCCCCACGTCTGTCACTCTGTCCATTTTGTCTTCTTTGAACCAGTGATTTGTCATATTTGGTCAATAGCACCATTGGTCTTGAATACCTCTTTTTGAAACCAGCATGCAGTGAGCAATTGTGCCACATCAGGTTCATCAGTGGGGAAAGCCAAAGAAACAGACAGTGATTGACAGATCTATCATTCATGTTTTATGATTCCCCAATTCTTTCCAGTCAGTCTTAGTATCCTTTGGGTGGCCTGTGAGATACAGGGGCAGATGCCCTGCAAGCAGATTCTGGGACAATGTCCAAATCCATCGCTAAATAATGAGAGGACAATATTGTGTGTAATAAGTTGTTGGTGGGCAATGAACTATGGAGGGAGGTGAGGGAAAACTTTATTTTTTGACATCGCTGGCATGCATATTTCCAATTGTCTTATTCTACTAGGAAGTTAACAGGCAAACAGATGGTACAAAAGAAAGAGACCCTAGAATATCCTCTATCATATTCTCCAATGGCCCTTGAGTAAATAAACCTCAGCAGTCTTTCATTTGTGCTTTTTCTTTCATTATTTTTTTGGCTGACAACCAAATGAAATGAGACTTAAAATGAGAACAAATCTGTTACCTCTGATTGCTCAAAAGTGGAGCTATGATGCCAACTAAAGTAAAAACCTGCTGGTCCTCCTATATGCATAAGCACTAGGCATGGGCAATCCATGGTTCTAAAGTACTTCAAAACTAGAGGGTGCTGGTGCTTTGCTTCTAAAGTGTTGTTCTGGTGGTGAAAATTTCAGAACTCTAACAAAACTTCCAAAATTTCATTATTCTTTCATTATTGGTGATTTTTATGATAGTTCCAATTAGGAACTGCCATTTATAATGAAATGTTGATTTTTTTTTTGAGTTCTGAAATTTTCACCACCAGAACTTTAGCAACACTTTAGAAGTAACACACCAGAACCCTCTAGTTTTTTAAGTACTTTAGAACAATTTAGAACCATGCGTAATAAGCACCACAGTTACCCCCACCCATCCCCACTATTGCTTGTGGCAAGAAGAATTAGGGTCCCTCAAACAGGAGATAGCTTGCAAGAGAATTATGGGTGGAAATGGTAACCAGCTGCTTCCCAAAGAACAGGGAAACAGACCCATATCAATCGCTGCTGCTGCTTCAGATTGGGGTAGTAAATACATAACAGTCATGAGCTATTAAGTGCAGCTTAAACATTCATAATAGCCATATCTGGCCACATTATTTATTTATTGCCATCAAAACTTTACATGCTGCTTTATAGTCCTTCTCCAGATGATAGGATTAAATTTGTGTGAAATGAGTCCAGATAAACCTCTTTGGGAAGATCCAAGTTCAGACATGCTACTTTTTGGAAATAAACTCCCTGTCCCTATGGCCATAGTGACTGATAAATTATGAGTGTTGCAGTTTGAAAAAGTAACTCTTCCAAGGTTTGGACAGGATCCATTGTACAGGGGCATTACAAAGAAAAAGCGCAACAAGAAAGGAAAAGAGTACTACTGCTGCTGCTGCTGCTACTACTACTACTACTACAACTACTACTATTACCATTTCTTCCTCCCCCACACCTTTTCCCCAGGACTGGGACCCCAAGTAGGTCTTCCCCAGATGGTTCTCCAATTCAATGTTGCTGTTTTACATGTATGCATTAACATTTGTCCTAAGTTGCTTGATAACTTATGGCAACCCCATGAATTTCACAGGGTTTTCTAGGTAATGACTACTCAGAGGGGTTTTTGACATTTTCTTCTCTGAGATATAATTATGGAACCTGGTATTCATGGATGGTTTCCCATCCATGAATGGAAGTGCTGACCATGCTAACTTCCAAGATCAAACAGGATCTGGCATTTTTAGGGTATTTCGCTTGTGAATGTATACTAGGTGAGAAAAAATTGTAATGGTTCCTAACAATATTTAAAAGGAAGGTACAAATAAAGCCACAAGTTACAAATTTGATATCAAAATAAAAAATATATAAGTGGTATATAATTATATATATTTAAAATAAAGCACATAGTAATACGGCATATCTCATTAAGGATGTGTCTATTTTGCATTCTGCCAAATGCCAAAACTCATATGAATGCAATGAGCTTTGCCTATTGTTGGAAGCACAACAGGGAGGGAGCCAGGTCTATCTTTCTTGGTGAGTCTGGGAGCAGCCACACACACCATTCAGTTATTTTTGTTATTTTTTCCACACACACCTGACATTGTTATCATGTTTGGATGTCCACACTCATGCACAAGACCTTGAACTTTGTGTAACAGTAAGAGGGTTGTGTTGACGATTCCCTTCCATTCCCAAAACCACCCTTCAGTCTCAGGTTTTAGGAAGTCAGCCTCCACAATTGCTCTTCCATGTGTGTGAGACAGGGTTGAAAAACTATATAATACTTGTTGCTGTGCACACGTTTCAAAGCATTTTCAATCTTTGTGGTACACCCAGAAATATGATCACAATCTGGCAAAAGAGAAGAAAGGTAACTAAAAATCAACAGATGACTCAAAAAATGAACCACAGTATGACCCTTATATCCACAGGGACATGCTACCAAAATTTATATAGATACACGAACCCACAGATAATAGTGATCCCTATTGAAATAAAGGACTTCTGCCCCCAAAGTACTATAGAGTTGTGCTGGAGGACTTAAAAATGTCTAGAGAGTACATATATCAGATGTGGATAAATTGAATTGTAAATGCGGTTACAGGGGTTGTACTGTAATATACTGTTATTTCTCCTAGGAGCAGGAAATCTGTCATCACTTACTTGTAGTTGTTTCTTCATTTGCTTCCTGAGATGTGTCTGTTGTACTGTTCAAAGTGTCAGGACTAGCCATTGTCTTGTTATTTTGGTCTGTAAGAAAAAGAACTCAAATGAACAACCAACAACAACATGGTTCTAAAATTTGCTTTGTTTTGCTACCAGCAGCACCAATCTATATGTTGCTACATTCCTCCAAAAAAACCCCTTCACATGGTAGCTTTCTCCTTTTGTTGATAAAATCCAAACCCTCCTGATTCTATGTAGAGTTTCCATGTCAATAACAGATGGCTCCATGGAAACCTTCCATATGATTAGACTCCTACCGGCATCTGGCAAGTCAATCTAGATTGAGAGGTGAGTCATTGCAGAAGCACCTTGCCATGCAAAAACAAAAAAAAAGTTGCACAGATACACGTTTGTAGGATGAGGACATCCAGGTAAAGGCAGCTCTGAAAGGTTTTTTTTGTATATGTATTTTATTGATATTTTACTTTGTGAGCGGATTTATACAATTAATACATACATGTCGTCTGTAACCACATTTTTCTATCCCCATCCATTATCCTCCACCTCCTCCGTTCAATATTATCCACTCACTTATCTAGTATGTCTTAGAGTTCATTCACTTTTTTGTTTTGTTTTTTTTAACTCCATCCATGAGCTCAGCTTTCCCCATCTCTGTACAATATTTACATTGGCTTTGCCTCTTTTTATCCATTCTGAATATATGAACCATTTCTCTTTAATTTTCCTCATTTTGTCTTCCTTCGTATCCTCGGAGGTTACATTTGCAATAATTTCTGATTGGACCTGGTCAAACAAATAATTATTCCAATTAACCATATTCCATTTTTTTTGCATCTTTCCAATGCCAAGCTATTACAGCCTTCCCTGCAAGAATCATTGCTTTGAATACATCTTGATATTTTAGATTGATCTTCTTGTTTCCTAATATTCCCATGAACATCAACTCCATATTTACTTGAAGTGGTACCTTAAATATTTTCTCCATTTTTCCTGTTATTTGTTCCCAAAATGTTTTCGCCTTTGGACATTCCCACCACATATGTGCATACGATCCTTTGCTTAAGCTGCAATGCCAACAAGTTGAGCTTTTACCATTAATCATGTTTAATAGCTATGCTGGAGCATGATACCATTTCCATAAATAATTCCTTTCCATTTCTTTGAACTTCTCTATTTTGATTTTCCTAGCCTCTTTTTTAAAGTCATCTATTATTTGTCTTGTAATTACTCCCTCTTTTTCCCATTTATCTTGTAATGTTCTTATAATATATTCATCTTCTTCGATCATTCCTTTGTATATTACTCCAATTAACCCTTTCTCAGAAATCTGTGCTTTTTAAATTATATCTTCCATTATACTCTCCTTACCTATACATTTTCCCCAAACTCCACCAGTGTTCACATTTGGGCATATTGAGTATTTGTGTCAAGTTTCGTCCAGATCCATCATTGTTTGAGTCCACAATGCTCTCTGGATGTAGGTGAACTACAAAAACTCAAGGTCAATGCCCATCAAACCCTTCCAGTATTTTCTCTTGCTCATGGGAGTTCTGTGTGTCAAATTTGGTTCAATTCCATCATTGCTGAAATTCGGAATGCTCTTTGATTGTAGGTGAACTATAAATCCCAGCAACTACAACTCCCAAATGACAAAATGTGGGTGTATTGGATATTTGTGCTTAATTTGGTCCAGTAAATGAAAATACATCCTGCATATCAGATATTTACATTATGATTAATAACAGTAGCAAAAATACACTTATGAAGTAGTAACAAAAATAATTTTATGGTTGGGGGTCACCACAACATGAGGAACTGTATTAAGGGGTCGCGGCACTAGGAAGGTTGAGAACTACTGCACTAGCGCTTAAAGAGCAGGCAAAGAGTATGTCTGAAAGCCTGTAAATTGCCTCCCGCAGAATTCTGGGGCATGTAGTTTTGGCGGGAGGGGGGAAGCTTTCAAATGCTCAGCCAGAACTGTCCTGGGCCTCACTAAACTACAAGTCCCAGAATACTGCAGGAGGCAGCCAACAGATGTCAGATGAGATTAATACTCTTTGCCTACTCTTTCAGCTCTAGTGTTCAACTTATTTGAATTCCCACAGCTGAAAGGTTGACAGATTATAATGAAGCCACTCATTCTTGTTAAAATGTTATAGAAAAAACATGATTCTACATTTTACCCTTAATACTGGTAGCCAGATTTTACTGTTGGACATTCCACAGATATATAAACCCCATTAGTTCCAACAGACCTCACAACCTCTGAGGATGTCTGCCATAGATGAGGGCAAAATGTCAAAAGAGAATGCTGCTGGAACATGGCCATACAGTCCATAAAACTCACAGCAACCCAGTGATTCTGGCCATGAAAGCCTTTGACAACACAGTAAGAGGTGACTTTGCCAGTTTCTTCCTCTGAAATAACTGTCTTTCCCCTTTCCTTACAGCCCGGAAGGCTGCTTGGAGAGATACACATGGCTCTTGTCAGAGTTCTGAACTGATTGTTAACAGAAGGAGTGTGAAGTTAGGTTGGGGGAAATGAATATGCATATTCAGTTTTTCTCTCTCTAATGGCACATATTTCTGTAGGCAATATCCTCTACTGCACCTTTTTTATTTCAGAACACTGTAATACCCAATTCAGAGGAAAAGCAGCCGGCAAGGTTACCAAGGAAATGCCAACACAATGTCTTGATTTTCATCTGTGAAATTATGAAAGGCCTGACCTTGCTGCTTATGTTGCTTGTTAACCATTTTATCTTTTTTGAATTTCTCACTGTTTTGATTGATTTAGTTCTAGCTGCTTTGAACATACTAGGTATTAAAATCAATAACTAAAATCAGTAGTATCTCTCTGCAAACCCTGGAGACTGTGTGGAAAAAGGAGACACTAGGAATGGAGAATAAATCCTTTCCATTGATAGTAAATGTCCTTCCTTGCAAACTGATAATGTTTATAAGGCTTACAAGGCTTGCTCATTGCAGACATGGGCTGTCTTTAGGCACAAAGATCCACTTAGTTCCCCTCTCTAATACAGTACCATTCTGAACTGAAACCCAAGATCCTCCAGTTGGAGTTGAGAAGGAGGTATCATTTATTTTCCACTGCTGTTTAAACAATTGGAAATTGGCAGCTCTTGTGAGGGTCTATTGCAAATCCTGCAGACATTCAGCCCCACCTTCTGACCCAAATCATGGTTTAGTCAGTGGTTCTTAACCTCTGGGCCATGGAACACCAGTGGGCCGCAAGGACAAAATTCTGGTCTGTGAGCCTCCCTCCTCTTTATTTTATTTTATTTTATTTCTGCTCCTTTCATGCCACTTGCCAAACCTTCCCTGTCATTGAACATGGCATATGTTCTGTATCAGAAACTAGAGCTGATGTAGTCTATCCAATGCAATCTTCTGAATCAGCACCCCAAACCAAATCTAAAGTTGACCAAAAACTGATTCGTAACCCTCTTCGTACTAATGTTGGAGAGTGGTCCCTGGTCAAGTGATCCTTGGTCAAAAAAAGAAAAAGAAAAGAAGGTTGGGAACCACTGGTTTAGTGGCACTGTATTCTATGTCCCAGCAGCCCTATTTCCCTGTTGTGGTCTGCAAGCACGCATTGTCTTCAGGAATACACACATCTTCACAACAGAAGTCATGAAAGACAATAAAGATCTTAACCTTTATCATCGCATTATAAACTAGACATTTTGAACAAGTTGAGGAGGAATCATTAAAATATTCTTGTGTAGGCAGGAAACAATATAGAAACAATATAGACAGGACTGAAAATGGTTTCTGTTTTATAGGAATATCAATTGAAAGTTCTTTATAACATCCCAGTACCTGAGATGCATGTTGGATTGCCTCCCTGAGAGATAAATGGTTGGACTGATTACTTGCCATATATATATATATATATTCATTTATTAGCTGCCTTCATATATTAGCTGAGGGCAGATTTGGGGGCCAGAATTATGGACTTTGATATGACTTGTGGATAAGTCATGGCTCATTTGGTGGAGAGGGAAAAACATCAGTATGGTGGCTAATTCCCCTAAATCCTACTATTGTCATTTTTCCACCCAGGTACTCAAAAAGGCCTTTTGCCACTACTCAGAGAAGGGGATGCTTCAATGTTTGATTACTGTTAAGGTACTGTATTCTCATCAAAAAAGGAAACTATCTTTTTGTTGAGTGGTGAAAGGCGAAAACCTCAAAGAAGTGCTGAGCTCCTATTAGTGTTCTTTGAGGGAATGGGACAAAGAGCATTGCTCACATTTTCCCACCCAGGCATTAAAAAATGTTCAGAAAAAGTGCCATAGCAGACAAAGCAGAGCGGGCAAGTGCTTCTTTTTTGATTCCCTGGGACATTTCATTGCTTAACTCAGAGAAGGGGATGGTTCCTTTTTGGATAAGATCTTGAATACAATTGACTCATGGATAAGTCAACCCAGGATTGGGTTTATCTCTTGACTAAAATGTTTAGACTTATACATGAATACACACACATACATACACACAGTAATTATTTCCACAACAATATCAAGATAGACTACATGCTCTTTTCTCCTTCCTTCCAGGTCAGGTGAAGAAATAGGTAGGTCAAGTAAAAGGGAAGAGATTGGCCCAAATTCACCCAAGTAAGGTTCATGGTTCAGTTGGGACTGAGACCCATTTGAACCCCAGTTCAACATTTCACCACAATAAGACACAAACCTTTTTCTCCTTACTGCACCATGTGCATTTCCTTTCTCAGCAGGAATAAAATAATCCCAGGGCTAGGCTGAAAAGTAGCTATTTTTGTATTAACAATTTGGAACTGGTTCTCCCCCAAGACAAATTTCATGGCTTGTTATGTTCTCAATTTGAGATTTGTAGAAGGAATTTTTCTTACCCACTACAGTAATAATAATAATAAAAACTTTCTTTCCAGATCAACTGCATGCAGGGGACCTGAGGCTATAAGAAGACATCACAACGTAGGAAGTAAAATGTCATTCTAAAACATTATATCATTGCTCAATAAGCCTATTGTGGACACCCCATTATGAATAAGAGTAGAAAGTGGATGTCTTACCCTTGGCAGATAGAGTTTCATTGGGGTTTGAAGTAGTCATAGGCTTCTGTGTTAATGATTCGGCCCCTCCTGCTGATATTTAGGATAAATGAAAGTGTGTTAAATTCTGTTCTGAAAACATGTTTGTCAAGGGGACAATCTACAGGCAAGCATGGGGAAGCCAGACAGAGCTATTTTCTGAACCACCTCAGGTCCTTGCCTTTACCTCATTTGTTCTCAGCACTGCAAAATTCAACCCTGCGTCCCAGACAGAATATCTGCATATTGCCTGAAATGAACTAAGGATGTCGTGCCATCAAGGTTTGGATGCATATTTTCAGAGATTCTTATTCTCCGGTTGCATCCACTACAGCTAGATTTGGAAAATCATTTTCAAATGACAGTTTATACCAGGCATGGGCAAACTTTGGTCCTCCAGGTGTTTTGGATTTCAACTTCCACAATTCCTAATAGCCTACTGGGCATTAGGAATTGTGGGAGTTGAAGTCCAAAACACCCGGAGGGCCAAAGTTTGCCCATGCCTGGTTTATAACATCCAAAGGCATGCCTTGGCTAGTGCCAAGTTTCATTGCTCTCAGTCAACAGGAATAGGCCAGGGGAAATCTTTAATTAATTCCCCCTGTAAATACAACAAAACAGTGATATTAGGCTGCAACAACTGTGCAGTGTGAGTACTTGTGCTTACTAGGGCTGGGCGGTTTCGTTTCGTTAATTCGTAATTCGTTAAAAATTCGTTATTTTTTTTATAACGAAGCGATAACGAACCATTCCGGAGCAACTTAAAAACGAAACGAATTTTTAAATTCGTTTCGTAAATGCTTCGGATTCGTTATGTATTCATTTCGTTATCGGTTTGAGGTCGTTTCGTTATTATTTCCGCATGTCTGGGGCAAGTTTTATAGTTGTTTTTTGTTTAATTAGTGAAAAAAAATTATAATATCACACCAACAGTCAACAACAGAGGGAGAGGGAAGCTTCAGAAGTTCCCCCTGTCCCATTTGGAGGTTTTTTAGCGTATTGCGCGGTCGCGTCCGCCATTAACGAATCGATTCGTTATTGTTTATTCGTTTCGTATTCGTTTCGTAATTTTACGAAATTTCGTAAATATCGAACTTTTTTAAAGAAAAATTTCGGAATTCTTTTAAGTATCGAAATGCAAAAAACCCCAAAAAACGAATTGATTTTAGAAACAAATTTTTCCGTTGTTACCCAGGCCTAGTATTGTTCTAGTTAGGCCAGTAACCGGGGAAGTACCTGACCTCAAATAGTGATTCAGGCCACTTGATGAAATTGAGCAATAGAGACAGATCTGTCTTTGCTCATTTAGCTTTGCCTGCATGCCACAAGCTTTAACTTGGAGTACAGGTTAACTTCAGGTGCCTGTGCTCTAGTGGTCCTTTTTAGTTAGGAACTGCTCTCTGACCTAAAGGAAAAGCAGTCAAATTAGTGGCTTTTGTTTTGCTTCTTTCCTGCCTTTGGGATCTCTGGAGAAAAACAAGAGAACAAAAGAAAGTTCAAAAGCTCAAAACAATGCAAAACTTAAACCACATCTTCATCGCCCACAGCATCAATTCAGCATTATAGATTCATAAGAATTCAGCAAAGTTCTAGTTGTTGATTTCTTTTTGCAGTACCAGCAGCACTATTGAGTATCTATAAAGAAGAATAAAATAAAATGCGTGCTTCCAACATTATGGTTAATTGAGCTGCCCTTTGGGTGTAACTGCATCTTTCGAAGACAAGAAAAATACGTAATTTGTACACTTCACCCATTCACCATTGATGTTATAGAGGCTGATGTAACATATTGAACTACAGGAAAGCCAATGAAACAGCTCTTTGCAAACAGATGAATCAGAGTTGGAAGGCACCACAAGTGCCATGTTGTGTCACACAATACGCAACAGAGACATCGCCATCCAAACTTATTGCCATCCAACCTCCAACCTCCACTGAAGAAGATTTTATTACCCTCAGGCACAGTTCAATGTCAAACAGCTGTTATCATCAGAAACTTTCTCCCAGTGTTTTAGTAGAATCTGTTTTCTTCCAATTTTTAATGTGACAGAAGAACAGTAAATTTCAAATTAGTACAGAGGATTTTCATCCATCTAGACTTCTGTATCCTGTGGTAGCTTTCCTCCTTTGATGTATGAGATAGCAAGTGAAGTGAGAAGACTGTGAGGCATATCCAGAGGTCATTATAAACTTAAAGAGTATCAAAATGCTAAGTGAGATAGCTTTTCAATCTTTCTAGATTTCTTACACAAGCATAATCTCTCACTGAATTTTGATGAAGTGAGCAGGCGTGATGTAATACATTCAGCAGTAGACATGGAAAATACAGTATTTACCTTTAGCTGGACTTTGAGTTGTTGACTGTGTTGTGTTTGCTGAAGAAATCGATGTATTTGTTGTGATCTTAACTGAAAGATACAGTGCATACATCATTTGATGTGGTTTTCCCCATCATATAAACATAAAAACGAACCATTCTGGTTTATGTAAAGTAAAGGTAAAGGTTTCCCTTTGACATTAAGTCTAGTCGAGTCCAAATCTGGGGGATGGTGCTCATCTCCATTTCTAAGCCAAGAGCCAGTGTTCTTCATAGACACCTCCTAGGTCATGTGGTTGGCATGACTGCAAGGAGTGCCATTACCTTTCCACTGAAGTGATCCCTATTGATCTACTCACATTTACATGTTTTCAAATTGCTAGGTTGGCAGCTGGGACTGACAGCGGGAGCTCACCCCATCCCACTGATTTGAACGGCAACCTTCCGGTTAGCAAGTTCAGCAGTTTAGCAGTTTAACCCAAAATTAATTCAAAATTCATATTATTAGGATGGAATTACTGGTCACCACAAGGCAGTACAGAAAGAGGAAAACCATACTACAGGTGGATTGATGTAATCAATGAAAATATGGTCCTCAACAGGACACTTGTTGGCCAGGGCCGTTGGAAGTCTCTCATTCACAGAGTCACTATAGGCCAAAGTTAACTTGATGGTAAGCAATAGTTGGCCACCATAAGAGATGATATTAGTCCTTGATGGCCACAATATGGGGTAACAAATTGAAACTAAGAGCCCTGCTATTTATTTAAAAGGTCTATGAGAATTCATAGACGAATCCAATAAAGTAAATGCCAAAAAGGGGATGATTCTGGGGAAACAAGGTGGGAGTTTGGCCCAACAAAAAGTCTTGGGGGGTACATGCTGCCTCAGAACATTATAAAATTGATCATAAATTCATCATTATGAATTGATTTCCAGCAGAGGATTCTAATATTTTCCTGTTTACCAAATATTTACTATGTTCTAGAAAGCATTTGCTTTTCGAAGGAAAATTGTGATCCTACTGTAAGGGTGTATATATCAAATAAATGGAATCAGAACAAATTAATTGTGCTTAGATCCCATGATATTCAGAGTATTAAGACTAGGAGCTAACTTTTCACATTAATTTCAATGGTACCAAAATGCAACTGATTTAGACTGGATAACACACTCAATGTTTGTTGTTTTCTGTAGCAAATGATTGTATTACTCAGAGAAACAGCAGCACAAGTTTGACATCAGAATTAAGCAGGAAAAACTGTGTATACATCATTGGTGGGGAAGGTGTGGTCCTCCAGATATTGGGTGGGTATAACTCTCTTCACAATCTAACAATGATGGGAGTTAAAGGGTAAGAACAGCAGGATGTCCATCTGTTCACCATCACTGATCTACAGTCTTAATTTCCTCCTTTACTTTCAGCAATCTTTGCATTTGGCTTTGGGCTTTTCTAATTCTATAAAGGAGGAATCATGATGTTATTGCTCACTTATGTTGCAGGGGAGTTGCAAAAGCAAATTAGCATATGCCACTATAGCATTTTGGAAAATGAAAAAGTGTTCACCTTTATTAGTGGGAGACTCTTCCAAGGCATAATAGAGCTTCACTGGTAGGCAGTAGTGCAAGATTAATCACTTGGAGATGAGTAAATGGCACTCTAAGGAAATCATTCCAAATCTGATTTGCAGTTATGGAGCCAAATTGTTTTTGATGTCAATGCCTATTTTTTTCTTAGGCAGTACAGGAAAGTACCTCAGGTACCAACACTAGCATGTTTAGTTGGAAAGGATGCCTTAAGAATGAACTAAAATGATGCCCCAGAGATGAAAGTTCTCGACAAAGGCAGTGCTCACCTACCATCATGCACTGTTACATAATACTCAAACAATTAGGGACCCTCCAGCACCAACACTGCCCTGACAAAAGCATTTTCATTTACCCAGATATTTACTTTTTCCATCCAATTACATTGTAATCTAGTTTGTTCAATGAAACCTATTTCCTGATAATACATATGTATATCTAGGATTAAAAGTTCACAGTACAAATATATGCATGTCTTCTCAGATGTAAGCAGCACTGAACCCAATGGGCCATACCCTTGGTAAATGAGTATAAGGGATCATAGTCTAATCTCTTTGAAAACTTGATGGGCTGCTGTGCTGTCACGCGCTGGGCCTATAATAATTGTCTTTTGAACATGACGTGCTGTTTGTGCCCAGCAGGAAGACGGGGTGCCTCGCGTGAGAGGCCTAAGGATTTTCCTATACAAAAGTCTCTAGATGCTTGAAAAGTTTAACAAAGTCCTTTATTATTGCTTAAATCTTCAACAAACAATCAAATGCTTCTTAGATCTTTATCAAATCAAACAAATGCTTAACTTGTCTACAATAAACAGTAACCTTGCCTGGAGAAATGTTTCTATCCTTTACGAGGAAAACCCTTTTTAACCCCTCTCTGGCAATCTGCTTTCTATGGTTGCTGGTGTGGGCTCCACTCCTGGCTCCAACTGCTTCTGGTTACCCAAGTAGACCTACCAGTCAAGGCTCTGTAGATTCTCCAGCTGGAGTTCTTTTCGCTCTTTTCCACAAAAGATGTGGAGCTGTTTCCCCTGGATGTTGTGAGAAACAAAGCTTGTCTACAGATGGAGCTGATCCACGTCCTGTAGCTAAGCTTTCCACTATAAGACTGAACTAAAAATGGTTCCCTTTCTCTCCCAGAGCCCTGAAAAAAGGGGCAGAACCAAAACTTAACAATGATAGACAGGTGGCTAGTCCTATGACTGCAAACCAAGGGAAGTCACCTTTTGCAAAATGTATGGAACCTTGGAATGCATGCAAACACTCAATAGGAAGAAATGAAGTTGAAGCTCTGCTGCTTTCTTGGTTTTGTAGTGATTTAATGTTTCATACTACCCATCTAATGTGATAAAACGTGATATTAAAATGTTTTAAATTAAAAAAAACACAGTTATTTTAGAACCTGCCTTTTCACAATGGCTAAACATAGCACACAGAGAGAAAGGACCTAACTAGTTATAATAAATTACGTTATCAGTTAAGTTGCAAATCTGCCTTTAAAACAAGGTGCACATTCCTACCACATCTTGCTTTATACCAAGAATGTATTTGTGAATGTATTTACATCACACCTGAAATTTGGTGGCAGCAGAAGTTACAAAAACAAGTCAAGGGGTGCATGCAACACTCAGGTGGAAATAACATTCACTGTGATATATTTTCTTGCTGAAAATTGGGTTTTTGACACTCAGAGACCCAATCAATTAGAATGATACAGTGGTGGCAGTTTTGTGCAGGTTTCACTTGGTACATCCAGTAGTTTTTCAGGAGTTTTTTTTTTCTGTGCAGATACACAGATTGGCACTTTCCACAATAATCATGGGAAGGGGAAGAAGTTATACAAATCCCCACATTCTGGGGGGCAAAAAGCCTCCTGTTTTAAGTAGCTACATGGTTAGTTTGCTCAGCATTGTAAGGCTGCTTTTAGCTTGTTTCTTTCTCTCAGAATATACTATATATATATATATTCAGAATATATATCTGCAATCTTGCATAATACCCCTATGTGATTACATATACATTTGTGTAATATTGCTGGGGGAGGTTTCACAATTTTTGTGTGTGTGGAAGTTTTATTGTACAAAATTGACTTTTTGTGCAAAAAGCAACATTTCAACAGTCTTTGGGTTTTGTTTTTTTTTTTTTTTGCACACAAAGCCACAGTTTTCATGCAAGACACCTTTCTATATATTTCTATGCAGAATAATTATGAAATACACTTTAGGATGAACAAATACTGGATGAGAACTACACAGAAATACATACTTTCTCCACAAGAGAGAAAAACTGTGGACATTATCAATTATCCGTCCTCATTTGGGATGGTTAAATGGGCGAATATTTACAAGTCATGTCTAGTTCACCAGTAATTAACAACAGGAAGAGCTTTCAGGATTAAAGAGGACTTTTATAATCAGTTCCCCACATTTGCAGATTTAACTTTTGCGGATTAGATTATTTGCAGATTTGATTGAAATGGTCTTTCTAGAAACCTCTAGGTCATGCAGTGTGACTTTGTGGTCAACTTCCATGGGAGGTATATCCCAAAGTTACACTGAAAGACTTCAATGTTTCTAGAGGGAAAAAATTAGCCTTTTAACTCATTTTTTCTACTTTTGCAGGAGTCCTGCACTTCTAATCCCAGTGAATGTAGGTGGCTGACTTTATTTGAAGAAGACTATACTGAATGCTATTGCCATGCACTAATGGCAGAGTGGAGCCCCTGGTGGCACAGTGAGTTAAAGCGCTGATCTGCTGAACTTGCAGACCAAAAGGTTGCAGGTTCGAATCCAGGGAGCGGCATGAGCTCCCATTGTTAGCCTCACCTTCTGCCAACCTAGTAGTTTGAAAACATGCAATTGTGAGTAGATCAATAGGTACCACTTCGGTGGGAAGGTAATGGCACTCCATGCAGTCATACCAGCCACATGACCTTGGAGGTGTCTACGGTCAACGCTGGCTCTTTGGCTTAGAAATGGAGATAAGCACCAACCCCAGAGTTGGACACAACTGTATTGCTGGATATGCATGTATTTGACTAAGTTTCTGTGGAATCACCTCTTGTGTGTGTGTGTTAAGGGAAAAACACCTAGTCAATCACAATTCATAGTTGTGTAATTAGAACAATCAAGCATAACAAGCTTAAACCACTCCCTGAATGGGGAATGTTTGTAATGCTTTTGGGACTTACTGAATCACTTGCTTCAGAACTTATTCGGAGTAAGTTCCTGGCTGAGAGCCTACTATGCTTGTCTCCTCGCACCATTGAATGAAGGAGAAATCTCCAAAGAAGATGCATGAATTTAATGCAACGAACTTTATGTGAGTTTGTTGCTCCAGATGGGCTGAGTTTGTCCTTTTGATTCTACATGTTGCCCACCCATTATTATTGTGCTTGTGCATATTCTTTATTTTTCATATTGTTATGTATTCATGTGTTATATAACTATGATGTTACTGTTTATTGTTTGCGTTTTCAGTTTGTGTTTTTGGTTTTTCTTTATTGTAATTGTCATTTGGGCTTGGCCTCATGTAAGCCACTCCCGAGTCCCCATTGGGGAGATGGTGTTGGGGTAACAAATAAAGATTATTATTATTATTACTATTATTATTATTATTATTATTATTATTATTATTTCAAAGCTGGAGGTTTTGTGTTTTTTTGAAGGTGCTTGTTTAATTTTCTCCTTGACTCTGCTACTTAAGAGTAAACTTTGATTTTCCCATTTTCTTGACTTGTATTTGCTCATTGTGGATGCACAGTAAAGGCTGGATATTTCTGGACAGAACTGTACACATTTTTGTTTAGTTTCAAACCCATAACAAACTGGACTTAATGTCAGGGAAAAACCTTTACCTTAATGGAAGAGTGGATTTTTGATCATCACCTATCTAAATAAATTCAATATTTTCAGAAATTATCTGTAGTTTTAGAAATAGTTCCATCCACTGCAGGGGATACACTGCCTGTTATAGGAAAGAGAAAAATAATAATAAAATAACTCTTTTTTTAAAGGAATAGGGTGCAGTGTTGAATCCTCCCATCACATCACAGTCATCACTTACTAGTGGGGAGTGGAGTGATGGGGGAGGCAATTTAGATCATGAGTGTAAGTCAGTTAAGGAGTTCAGAAAATTTCATATTCATGGTATGTAACATCAGACAGGACTCCTCCTGGGGCTATATAACTGTTAGGCCACGGAGAAATTGTGGACAATGCAAATGTGCTTTTTACCTCATCCAAAATGAGACTTACGTGCATTAAGCAGCATTTATGTATATATAAGTCACTAACATAATGTCAATCTATGTGTGTCTTCCAGGGTTCCACAATGATGGCATCAGAAAAAAGCAGACATAAATCTGCTGACTTCGATCATTCTATTTACTCAAGATTTTGTCCAGCATTTCTTCACTTTGCCATCATTACTTCTGCCAAAGTAGACATGGCGACGTAGTACAACAGGATTCTACTCACAAACAGTTGGACAGTTACAAAACTGGAAACACACTATTATTTAGCTAAATTTAGATATTCACACAGGTTGGTATTTTAAACAATTCTGAACCTCATTGCTCACCTGCAGATGGTGAAGTCGGTGAAGTTGGTACTGTTTTGGATGGTTCTGTGCAAATAAAATTAAACATTGAAAGTGGTGCTTTATTCTTGCAGTTCCAATTAATTCTAACAATAAATAAACTGGCCATTTAAGGATGACTGATGAATGAATTAATTATATTTTAGTCATTACTTTGTTAAGGAATTCCGTCATTATTTATAGCTCATAGTCATCATGGATATAGGAAAGTCCCCCTCCATCATTTATGCCCATGTGAGGTACATTGATGTGAGAGATAATGAATTGCCCAGGGGAACCTGAGAAGCTTCATAGAAGATGGATTTAACTGAAAATTCCTGGTCTAAGAGCCCTTTCTCTCTTGTACCATTATGATTCCACTTTAAGTGCCATGCCTGAATACTATGGAACCCTGAGGTTTGCAGCCTGGTGAAGCACCAGGGCTCTCTAAAATTCTGACTACTCCTTCATAAACAGTAAATCCCGGGGTTTCAGAAGATGGAAACAGCAGTTAAAATGAAATCACAGCTCAGTTATTATGTTGTATGAAGGGGTCCCTAGTTTAACAATCCAACTAACACATACTGGCTCTTTGGGTTCACCATAGCTGTGCCCGAAGTAGATTGTTGTTGTGTTTATTCATTCAGTCACTTCCGACTTTTGTGACCTCATGGACCAGCCCACGCCAGAGCTCCCTGTCAGCCGTGGCCACCCCAGCCAGTCCAGCCAGTCACTTCAAGGATACCATCCATCCATCCATCTTGCCTTTGGTTGGTCCTTCTTCCTTCCAAAGTAGATTGTTAGTTAGAAATTCTGAAATATTTTTAGATTGGCTTCTCCTAGGATCTCCTAGGATTTGCCTCCTGGCAGAGACCAATACTGTTAAAAGTTACCTGTTGCTTTAATCCCTGGTTCGGTTCTGTCCTCAAAATGAAGGCAATACGTGGAATGATGGTGTCTTAGGAATCCACCTAGGTTTTTTCCATTGCCCAATTTACCAAATCATAATGCCTTAGCTCTGAGGACCAACCAAAGACTGGTATTATAAAGTTAAGTGACTCTTGATCAAATTTTGCCTTTGATGGGAATCTTCTGCAAGGAGAATCATAGAACTGGAAGAGACCACAATTGTCATACATGTAGGAATAAGCAACTAAAGCAATCCCAACAGAAGGTCATCCAGCTTCTGTTTCAAAATCTCCAGAGAAAGAGATTCCATCATTCCGTGAGGCAGAATAATCTACTGTTGAACAACTCTTCCTAATATTTGAATGCAACCTCTTTTCCTCTAGTTTGAATTCATTGTTTTTTGTCCTAGTTTCGAGAACAGTAGAAAACAAGTTTGGCCCATTTTCAGTATGATGACTTTTCGCATTTTTTTAAAAAGGGGTATTATGTTATTTGTTAGCTGTCTCTTTTCCCAGCTAAACATACTTATCTCCCTAAGATGCTTCTCATAGGACATGTTTTCCAGACCTTTGACCATTTTAGCTGCCCCTCTCTGGACATTTTAAAACTTGTCAACATCCATTCTGAACTTTGATGAACATAACCGAACATAGTATTCCAGCAGAGGTCTGACCAGGGCTAAAAAGTATAGACATTATATTCCTTCTGATGCAGCCTAGAATTGCATTGCCATTTTCACTAGCTGTTGCACTACACTGTTGAATCATCTTCTACTTGTTGTCTACTATGATGCCTGGGTCCCTTTCACGTATACTGTTCTCAAATCAGGTGTCACCTATACGATATCTGTGCATGACTGATGCAATAAATGTATGCATTTCAAACATTTAGAAAATTAGGATAGTATACAGAAAACCTGAAAGATGATGTTCTTTGTAGTAGAAAGCCACCTCTATGAAAGGGTCTGCTCTCAATAGTTTAAAAAGATGATAAGCTTGTTGCTTACCAGGAGTAGGTGTTGCAGGTCTTGTTGTGGTTCCAGATGTTCCCACTGCTGAAAAGGAAAACATGAGTGTTAACTATTGTTTTCAACAATCTGTGTCAAAGGATTAATTAGCATAGAAGTAGAAGAAATGGGATAGAAATGGGAACCATTCTGCTAAACAGCTGTTTGAACAGTTGGCCGTGCTTTGCTTTGATGGTTTATTGATTAACCTTTTTGATTATAAGCCATTACTTGTTTAGAAATATCAGGATATTCTAAAGACTAGTGGAGCTCATTTTTTACATCATCAAGCAGAGTTGAATATGTTTGGGTATGTCTGTTTTCCAAGATCAGGCTTTCATAGTGTGATATTTGATGTCACCTATGGTTGTCTGTGTTTATTTGGTTTTAAGTCACAAGTCGGGTTATGATGAACCCATGAATTTTATAGGATTTCCTTAGGTAAGGAATATTTAGAGGTGTTTTTTCCAGTTCATTCCTCTGAAATATCGCCTACAGCACCTGGGATTCATTGATAGTCTCCCAACCAAGTACTAACCAGAGCAGCCCCTGCTTAGCTTAGTATTGGATGCTAGCTACTTTTGTTGATGTTTCCCTACGAAAACTGATGATCCACCAAATACTATTTTAATATTTTAATGCATTTCAGTATTCCTCACTGTATTCCTCTGTTGAGAAGTCCCAGTAGATCAGGCTTTATCTGTGTTTGGTTTCCTGTAGAAGATGGGATTGCTAGAGTTATCTGATATTTTAATGTATTTCCAAATCAAATTTATATTTGGTCATGGGGTAGTCAAATTTAAAGCCTCCTGAGCAAACAAAAGCTCTAAAAGAGGGATATTTGTATTTCTAATTTCTCCTCGCTCCCAGGAAACATATTTCGGCCACTCAGCTCCATCTTTCAGGGTTACATGCTGTTAGTTTCTGATATCCATACTGCAAAGGCTGGTAGTACAAGCACATACCAAAACTTGCGTTATGGTGACTAGCTAGCTATGTAACCAATATTCAAACATTTTAACATGAAACTTCAATACAATGATACAACTGCCTCTGTCCTATCCTTCCCCCTTTCCAAGTCTAGTGTCACAAGATTTTTTTTGTACAGGATTGGGAGTTGGAAAGACAAACAGAATCATAGACCCAGGCCCTTCCAGACAGGCCCTGTATCCCAGGATCTGATCTGAGGTTTTCTGTTTATCCTAGATTATCCGGCAGTGTGGATTCATAAAATCCAGTTTAAAGCAGAAAACCTGGGATCAGATCCTGGGATATAGGGCCTGTCTGGAAGGGCCCACATAGAGTTAGATGTGACTACTGGGGCAAACCAGTCCAATAACTTCCCATGCAGAAATACCCAATCAATGCAAACCCAACAGATTATCAACCTCGACTTAAAAACCTCCAGAGAAGTAGACACCACCACATTCTAAGGCAGCATATTCCACTACCGAACAGCTCTTATTTCATGCTACAAAGAATATATATATATTCATTACCACAAATCTTCCAAAAATTATACATGGGGCTCTGAGATTGAAACTACCCCTCTAGTCTGCCTAGGTTAGACCACACCTGGAATATTGTGTCCAATTCTGGGAACCACAATTGAAGTGAGATATTGACAAGCTGGAATGTGTCCAGAGGAGGGCGACTAAAACAATCAAGGGTCTGGTGAACAAGCCCTATGAGGAGTAACTTAGAGAGCTGGACATGTTTAGCCTGAAGAAGAGAAGGCTGAGAGGAGACATGATAGCCATGTATAAATACTAGGGCTGGGCGGTTTCGTTTCGTTAATTCGTAATTCGTTAATAATTCGTTAATTTTTTCAATTACAAAACGATAACGAACCATTCTGGAGCAATTATTAAAAAAAACGAATTTTCAAAAACGTTTTGCAAATGCTTCGTATTTCGATATTGTATTCGTTTCGTTATTGTTTTGAGGTCGTTTCGTTATTATTTCCGCATGTCTGGGCCAGTTTTATGGTTTAATTAGTGAAAAAAAATTAGAATATCACACCAACAGTCAACAACAGAGGGAGAGGGAAGCTTCAGAAGGTTTTGGAGGTTTTTTAGCGTATTTCGCGGTCGCGTCCGCCATTAACGAATCGATTCGTTATTGTTTCGGAAATCGATTCGTTAATTTTTTACCATTTACGAAATTTCGTAAATATCGAACTTTTTAAAAGGAAAATTTTGTAATTATTTTAAATATCGAAACAAAAAAAACCCCCAAATACAAATCAATTTTAGAAACAAATTTTTCCGTTGTTACCCAGGCCTAGTAAATACGTGGGAGTAAGTCATAGGGAGGAGGGAGCAAGCTTGTTTTCTGCTGCCATGGAGAGTAGGATGTGGAATAATGACTTCAAACTACAAGAAAGGAGATTCCATCTGAACATTAGGAAGAACTTCCTGACTGTGAGAGCCGTTCAGCAGTGGCACTCTCTGCCCCGGAGTGTGGTGGACGCTCCTTCTTTGGAAGCTTTTAAACAGAGGCTGGATGGTCATCTGTCTTCGGTGCTTTGAATGCAATTTTCCTGCTTCTTGGTAGGGGGTTGGACTGGATGGCCCATGAGGTCTCTTCTAACTCTGATTCTATGATTCTATGAAACTGTTATCCCTCAGTGGTTAGGTCTCTAAAACATGAATGTATTGACCATTTATTTTAAAAGCATAGTTCCCATATAACTACTTCCCCTATATTCTGATTCTTTCTTTTAACCATTTCTTATGGTTTTTTTAAATGGATGAGCAATATCTGGCTTGTATTTCCTGGCAATTAATATTGAGAGGAGTCCTGTCTCTGATGTTAAGATCCAGTGTGATATAATGGTGTGACTGTTAAACTACAACTATGGGAGAAAGGGGTTCAAATCTGAACTTAAGCCTTTGAACTCAGTGGGAGATCTTGAGCAAGTCACAATCTCTCAGCCATAGAGAAGGGCAATTCCATGTGCTCGTGGAACCTAGTGTTATTGGGATGTGAAGTTCATCACTTCCTGAATTTGGGAGAAAAAAAAAACACTGGGGAGAAAGTTGCTTTTTGTGCAATATCTTCCAGAATTCTCCAGCCATGCTCTTTGGGTAATTCTGGGAAGTGTAGTTTAAAAAAGGGTAACATTTCCAAGCTGTGGTATATGCCAGCTGGTTTGCGGTAAGTAAATTTTGGGAAAATGACAAGTTTGCAAAAACTAAAATACTTTGCTTCCTATGTATTAAAACCTGCCTTAAAAAAAAGTAAGAACAGGAATTGGCTGGTTTTTAAAGTGGGAACTTATTCTTGGACCTTCATCTCTAAACAGAAGTAAACCATGTGGCCAAAACCCAGATAGGCTTAGTATAATTTATTTCCAGCAAACCTACTTAAGTGGCCCTGTGCTCAGTATATTGACTTTACTGTGTGAAGGGTCAATCTGCTATGAAAAGCTTAATTATATGGCAGTTATTATAGTGTGAAAAGCAAATTATAGAAGAGAATCCAGACACAGGAAAAGTCTATTGGCAATGATGATAGGTCTGAATTTTTCAGTGCAATGTGAAATGTAAATTGCAAACTTTATTTCAGAAAGTATATAGTGCTACAGGAGGAGATGTTTATGGATATTGCATGGGCAAAGAACATGATGTGACTTCAGAGTGACCAAACTGTTTGCTCACCAACCCAGCTTGGTATGTATCTGCAAGTTAACGGGATTTAAGTAGTTGACTTGTATACATACTGTGCATGATGGTGACCATTAAAGAGTCTCTTATTCAGACCCATAGTTGTGGGGAGAAGATGGAATAGAGAACGAGATATTTCAAATTTTCCCTACTAGAAAATGTACAAACTGGATCGTAACAATGATAGTAGATGGGCCATTGTCAGGAAAAATTCAAAACTTAACAGAAGGGAAACCTTGTCACATGGAGTTTTCTAGTGGAATCTGGATATCCACTGGGGTTTGGTTCCAGCCCTCCTGCCCCATAGAAAGAAAAATCACCCCACAGATGCCAAAATCCATAGATCTGCAAGCTCTATTATATGTAATGGAGTAAACAAAGAATGTCCCTTACATACAATGGCAAAATATTTTCAAGCTGTGAATGTTTGAATCTGTGCTTACTGAATCCGTGGATACGAAGACTGTTTTTCTGTCTATATCTATGCATATAAAAACAGAACACATGCACACACTGTTTTAAAAATATTCCTGGAACATGTGTTGTTCTAGGTTTGTACACATTTTTTGTTAAGACACAAATAGGTCTTCCAAATACAGATTCAAGCCACAACTCCCAATTCCTGAACGTATTTACAATGCCAGTTCAGGAACTTGGGAGTTTCCTGCCAACTGTTCTCAGGGAAAGAGGCAGTTTGCATCTAGAATGAGTAATTCTTTCCACCCTTGATGAAGAGATAAGAGACCAATGCCTGTGTCACTGAAGGACAAAAGGAACAACTATTTTGAATATTGACTGGATACACATAACCTCTTCCAAAGCCAGTGTCCAAGACAAATTGTATGTTGGTCCTGGAACCAATACCAGTGGATACTGAGAGCCCACTCTTTATGCTTTTTGAACATGTTCAAAATGCTTTCCTGCAAGCGTTTAAAGACAAAGTGGGCCATTTGCCCAATCATCCATAAACCTCCAGACCCAGCTTTGGCTAACTGTAGAAACACTAGTTGTAAATACAGCTGGTGGTAAACAAAAATGCATTTGCAACTAGATTCTTACTTAGGATTTCATCACACACAACCCCCTCCCTAATTTCAAAACCTAAAACAGTTTACAGATGAAGTACCATAGAGCCCATCATGCAATGCAAACAGATTTCCACCTGACATCCATGATGCATTGTCAGTTAACTGTTTTAGAAGTTGTTAAATCTTTGCTCTGCCTTTTCCTCTCCTCTGCTTTAGTTCCCCCTATATAGGTTTTCCTAATAGTGTAGATACCTTCCTTTGTATTAGTTTTTGGGTGGAGCATAAACATCTTAAAGACCAGTGTTAGTTGGTCTATTCCATTTGCCTGTATCGAGCTCCTTTGCTGTACTCC